GCCCCTTGGAGGAGGAAAAACTCCTGCCATTCAAGGCAGGATGTGGGTAGGACTGATAGCTCCACATCCCTGTCCAGCCCAAGGGACTCTGCTGGACAAAAAGGCCCCGTTCCAACCCTGGCTCCCAGAATTGCAAACCTAGAGCTCCTAAGAAATACCAGCAAGAAGCTACTTCCAGAAGCTTGCACAGGTTTCAGCAAAAGCAGAGGTTGGGACTGTTTGACAACGAGGTTTCACTGCTGCCTGTCACGTCTCAGATGAAGCTTCAGGAACAGGATTGTTTGCCAGTAACCACCACCTTGTGCTGATGTTATCTAGTTTCTGCAGAATGAATTTGCTGAGTTGTCATCTGTGGCACTGTCAGGGGAAGTCCTGACTCCTGACACTGCAGTTCCTGCCTCTGCTTTGCCATAGCCCCAATTCCAGCAGCATTATCTGGGCTGGTTGGATTTGCTGGACAACTGCTTGTCCTGAAATTGCATGGAGTTGTCAGGAGGAAGTGGGAAGCAAGGCTGTGCTGCAGGCCTGTAGGCTCCCAAATCCAGTCAAGTCACTGGGCAGGCTAACAAATAGTTTCTGATTGAGGATAAAATGGCTACTGACAGCTCATTGCAAGGTGATGCTGAACACCTGTTGACCAGTTAGCAAGAGGGGGTTTGTGCTAGAGCTACTGTGTGGGTATCTGCAAGTGCCTCTCAGTACCCGGGCTACTGGCTTCTGTGACAGAGGCAAGCTCTCTGGGTGCCAGACAGAGGCACTGCTGCATTGCGGAGACATTTGCTGAGTGAGGCATCCCTTTTCTTCTGTGCAGACTTTCCCTACAAGCAAAGTGACCTGATTCACTCACCAGCTTCAGCCAGCAGATAATAGATGAGTAGCTGATAGGTGCTGGTTGCATGCTGGCACTGCTGTGTGACCAGGCAGGATGATGGCACCCCATGCTGCCAGTGTAACAGACTGGCAGAACCAAACTCACTGGTTCAAACAAAATCCCTTGGCTGCAGGCGCAAGGTGTTCTCTGTGTCTGTGCTGCAGAAGCAGACATCTGTTCTGCTGCCTATTGGACACCTCAGGTCACTTGATCACGTGCACAAGTTTTAAGAGCAATGCAAACTGCCAGTGTACCCTACCTGGCCACTTGCACATGAGATGGAACCTCATTCAGGCAGGACTTAGGGGCACATTTCTACATCTGATAGCAACCATCCGCTGCAGCCACAAGTCTGGCATTGCTCAGCAGCTGGATTCATATGCTGGGGTAGCAGCACTTCAGCATTTCTCCCACCCATGCTCTGGAGCATGCCTAAGTGCCAGCTGGCACATAGGTGGTTTAGATGAGAGTGCCAATGGGTACAAGGCTGTGCTCCAAATTCAGGATAGAACTACCTGATGGGTCCCTCTCACTGTGCAGCAGCAGGGAAAGGAGGAAGGCTGCACAACGAATGGGATGAAAATCCATCCTTTATAACTGTAATGCCACGGTACAAGGGAGGAAGCTTCCCTGGCATGCTGTGGTTGCTTTTGTCTGCCCCACTGTGGCAGACAGTTGGGAGACATCCAAAGACAGGTGCTGACCTGAATTAGGGCTGCAGGAAAATTTCCCCATGCGGGGACTAAAAGTCCCACTAGTTTAGAGTGGAAACTAGTGAAATGCCATATGATAGAGATGTGCAGAGCAATGCCTGGCTCAGAGATAAGTCTGTTCCTTTGCTCACCCCCTCACAAGATGTTCAAAGAAATGGAAAGACAACTCATTTCAGACTGGTAAACTGACATACTTCTCACAGAGCCAGCAAAGTGGTTTGTGCAGGTGGACAAGATGCCCTTTTGGCCAACAATTTCAGAGGGCTCACAAGGAACCAGGTATTAACATGAAAAACAAGGATACCCAAAACTGAAGTTAAAAAGTTTGGCTTAAATAAGACAGAAGATGGCATGATTCTTGGACATCAAGTTTGGAGTTTGGTAAAGAATGGCAGGAAGGAGTTTCCATCTTTTTTCTGTCCCCTCTTTGAAGCCGATGTTGACAGTATTATTTATGTCAGGAGGACTGACTCTTCAAGTCAGGGCCTTGCAGCAGCACCACTGGCATGGCTTAGAGTACAGCACTTCTCCCTCATCCCACCTCCAAAGCACTGTCAGGGATGAGGTGCAGGTCACCTGTGTCTGGGCACTGGTGTTAGCAGCCGCTGCCAAAGCTGTGGGCAAAGTAGCCATGCCCCAGGAGGCTGATTATGGAGCTTGTCTCTCGTGCCAGGGTACTGAAGTGTGAGGATGGAAAGAACAGGACTGATGGTCATGTGAAACTATCCATCTCCCTCTGTCCCTACCTCTGCTGCTCTAAGTCCCCTGAGGAAACTTGTGGGACTTTGTAAGCCCTCTGAAACAGCCAGCACTAAATGGGTCCTCCCTTGTGTTTGGGTGTTGGACCATGAGCCTCCCTCCCTCCTCGTGTTTCTCTCAAAAAGGCATTGAAGAGCCCTGAGTTGGGCAGGGGCTCCAGGGGATGGACCAGGTGTGGGACAGGGGCTCAGCCCTGCTGCTGCCTCTCCTGGCAGCCTGCTGTGGGATGGCTTGTCTCCCAGAGAGCTGGCAGCATGAGAGAGCCGTGGGTGCGCCAGTGTGCGCCAATGCAGAGCATCCGGGCTGATGGGGCTTGGACACATATTTGTGTTTTGATAACTCTGCCAGTGTGGTACTGCCAATCAGCACTACTTGCACATTGTACCTTCTGCACAGCTCTCCTTCACAGCTTGTCTAGTCCATGCTCCCCCGTGCTGCCTCTGACGTGCTGTGCTCCAGGACTGCTTGTACAAGCCTCACACATGCCCGGGCACAAGCTCACTGCATGTGCAACCATCAGTGCAGCTACTTGTGCTGAATACCTCCTCCAGCTACACTGCATGAGCTGAAGTATTTCGGAAGCTCATTCCCACCAAATGGGGTGGGTAGAAGGGAGAACTAGTGTAAACATCCATGTAATCCAATATTGAAGCAGATCCCATTGGGGTGGGAACACAGTACTGGTATGAGTGTTGTTTACAGCCATCTTCTGCTGAGGTGGGTGTCTTGGAGTCTAGCTGTAAGAACATGCCCTAAATAAGCTGTACTTAATCCTTGGGAGTCTTGGACATGTTTTATGGTGATGGGTGGTGTTGAAGAACATTTTCCTCTGAATAGCATCATGGAGCAGCAACGTAATACGCTCAAGAATCATGTATTAATTTAAGAGACAAGTAACACATTCACCGTCCGCCCCCATGCCATGCATCATGGGTGCAACCAATACCCAGTAAACATCAAATCCTCCATCAGGCTGTGGTCATCCCCTGGGAGCACAATTTTTGCTGCTTGGTCGCTTCAGTTGGATTCACTGCAGCACTAGCAGAGGCCCAGAGTTGGGTCCTACTGCCACTGTGGCAGGGCTGGACAGCCACATGCGCCTCTCCTGCTCTTGTGGTAGCCTGGAAATGCACATGCTGGACAGCATGAAGGATGCTGGGGCTATAGCCACTTACCAACACCAGTAAGTCTACCCCTGGGTGGATCAGCACTTCTGGTTAAACGGGTCACTGCCCTTCCTCTTTGGGCCTTCCCCGTCATCACCGAACGAGACTGCCACCGAGATGAGTCAAACTGTCAGACAACATCTGCACCCTCCGCACGCCCCGTCCATGCGCTTGGATAGTTCAACTGCTGGGCTCAGCCCAGGCAGCGGAAGCAAAGGAACCCTGGTTGACTGGGGGGCGTCTGGCAGCTGAGCCTTTTCAGTGTCCCAAGTGTGGCTGGGTGATCTGGTCCATTTCTGACAAGATCCCAGAAGCTAGACAGGGCCTGTGGAGGCAGTGAGAGAAAGTTTTGCCTTAAATAGATGTACTCTATTTGGGAGTTTGGGATCTGCTAACCTGGAGACTCCTGTAAGTGCACATCTGAGTACTTGCTCATGAGCTGCAAAGTCCTTACCAGGAAAAGATTAGAGGTTGCTCAACTAATTACCCAACCAGTTTATTTGTATAGGACAGGAGAATGTGGTTCACCTCTTCAAAATAGCCTGGGGTGAACTCTAGTAAGTCTGTGTCTTGACACAGAAACTCCAGTACATGTTGGAAGTCTGACCCTGACAACCTCTTGCCAATCCTTCAGCTGAGAGCTCTAGCCAGGCTTGCTTTCCCCCTCCGGTGAGGTCAGATGTACCCCAGCTACCTGGAGCTTGTTGTCCATATCTGGAAAGCTAACATATTTGGCATTTCCTTTCTATAGCTTCCTTCTTTTAAAATATGAACCAAAGAAAGCATTACTAACGACATTCAACCCCCTCCCCCCCTTAAAACTGGCAAAGCCAAGTACCACAGAGCTAGAAATTGCCAGAAATGGTTTGCCTGGGCAACCTAACTTCAGCTGTCTTGTGTATATGATTACTTCCTGCATTTTGCCCTGGATTGCCACCTCTTCAGCACCCAGACTGGACCTTGGCTGGAGAAAGCAAAAAGCTGGTCAGCTAGGCTGCATCCTTTCTTAGCAGGTCTGGGAAACTCCCATGCAATTGGTGAAGCAAGGGATTGCAGAAAGAAAGGAGGGTCTCCTGGTAGACAGTTGATGCCTCCCTGGAGAGCTGGGTCTGTGTCTACCCCTGCCTCGAAGTTACTCTGTAAGTTGGTAAGCCACATAAGCAAGAGCTTTCACAGGAGCAGCCGCGTCTTCCTCATTTGCCAGAGCTGCTTTACAGAAGTGCTAAAAGTTTGCAGCTGCAGTCACAGACATGAGGATCTGGGGTTTGATTAAATTAAGTGTTATATAGGGCCAAAACCACTGAAAAATTTAGATTCTGGTTGTTTCAAAACATGTTCAAAACAAAATGAAGTACTTACAACCTGAATCTCTCTTTGTCTCTTCTTTTGCACCTGTTAAATAGGGATAACTCCACCCCCAACCCTGAACCTGAAAAGGTGGCTGAGAAGATAGATTAATTAATAACCCTGAAGAACTCACTCAGCACTGAAGCAATGCGCACTAGAAAGAATCCATGAAGAAATGGAAAAGCAGGATGTTGGAGCAGTCTCTGACTGCAGGACAGCAATGAAGGTAACACAGCCTTCCCAGGGAAGAAACCTTAGCGGGTCATGAAGTTACAGAGCACAGCATGTTGCTTGGCATGAGGGTGTAATTACAGTGTGTTTAAGGGAGTTAATTCTGGGATTTCCATACTTTTGAGTGCTTAATTTACAGTACTTGTAATTTATCAGACACTCAGATTGTAAAGTGCCTGTTTCCTGTACATTGGCAGGTTGCATCCAGTAAGGACTAAAAGTGCTGGTGTGATGGGTGTTTGCTCTCTGTTGGGTGGGATGAATTTGCTGGGACTATGCTTGAGCTCTCCTGACATGACCTCCCTCTCACACTCATTCAGCTCAGCCAGGATGAAATAGCTCTGGTGACTGAGACTGGGGAAGCTGCCCACATCACAGACAGGACCAATACATGCTGACAGAGCAGGACACAGCAGAAGTATCTGGTAGAGAACAGGGACTTTGTTCAACACAGACATTTGCTTGACATCTCTTATCAGCACTGATTTCTACACAAAGGTCTTCAAACTCATGTGGGGAATGATAAGGAAATTGCTGCAATTGTCCAAATATTGTAAGAAATTATTTGCATAAAATGCTACATGCGAAGCAGAAACAACCTCAGTGGTTTATAGGAGGCTGAAGTTGGTAGCTGCTGTAGCCTTGATTTTTAAATAGCACTATGCACTGAATGATTGTGCAAACAAGATGAGTGAGATGGATGGGATGAGATGCAGTTTTGAATGTTACTGTCATAAGCCTGTAGCAAGCGAGAGGGCTTGAAAGGAAACTCCTGCACCCACCCGTGCTGAGGAAGCTAGTTACACAGGGGGACATGGACTTTGGAGGCAAAGGTGCTGGCTGCAGCTAAGGCTGAGAAATGGCCCACGTGTTCTCTGGGCTCTGAGGAGCCCTTTTTTTTTTTTTTTTAAATTTCATTTTTTCCTTGTTTAAACCCTGGAAACATAACATCCTACAGAGGCAGGATTCAACCTCTACCCTTTCCAATAGAGGTTTTTTTCCCAGCCACTTCATATGGAAGGCTTGAATAACTTTCCTGAACTGCCCATCCCAAGGTCTTCCTATGCTCATCTTGCTTTGAACCTCAGATCTACACCTTTCCTGCTGCAGTTGGAGCCTGTTGCTTCTTACCCTGCTCTGGCTGCACAGAAACCAATTGACCACCCTTTCCATTACAACATATGAAAGACCACTCCTTCCTCCCCACCCACTTCCCACCCCCAAGACTTCTCTTTTCTAGGCTACATGGACCCAACTTCTTCACTCCTTTCTCTTAGTGCAATATTTCTATGTATTTATCCTTTGTATTGTTCTCTTCTGGACTATTCCACTTCTGGACCTGGGACTCTTAATGGGTACTGGCCCTGCACAGGCAGTACAGGGCAGTGATCTCCTCTGCCTTGTCCCAGCACCCTAGACCTGTACCCAGCTCCTTTGCGACACCTCTGTGCTGCTGGCAAAGCTTTGGCTTTCAATGCTCTGCAGCCCCTGGATTTTTCCCTGCTATTCTGCTGCCCTGGTCGGTTATTCCCCAGATCTTCTATCTACATCTTGCTTTGCTTTATATTTGCATTTGTTCTTGCTGAACTGCATCTTGCTGCTTTCCATTTCTTCAGCAGTTGAGATCACATTAAGCCCAACCTCCAGAGTCCCTGTAGCCACTCTGTCCCAGAAGAACAGGACTCCCTTAAGCGTGCTGTTATTCAGAAGGGACAAATGCAGGACTGGATGGCCCCATACTTCCTTTAAAACTCTCTGGAACTAGCCCTTCTCTATCAAGCTGCTAGTCCAGCAGTAACCTAACATTTGCAAGTTCATCCAATGCCACTAACAGTGATTTCACTGCTACTGTGATCAAGATCAAGAAACCTAAATGATCCCAGAGAGAAACTCAGGGGATGTTATTCACTGTAAATTTAGTCACCTATGTCAAGCACCAAGATTAGGAGAGTGCCTCCTGAGGCTCCCCCTCATAGCAGGGGAGAGCCTGGGGAGGGGCAGCAGGAAACCAGCTCCCCAGCCTGCAGCAGGTGCCAAGGGCAGCTCCCACAGAGCTGTGAGCAGGTGCTGGTGGAGCCATGCTGGTCGTTTCTGCTGCTCTGGGTTGGGGGATTGCATCTCTGACCAGAGGAATGGCACGGGCCACTGCCTGTGAGGAGACAACATGGGTCCTGCCCAGCCCAGAGGAGCACTGTGAAGGCTCTGCCATCTTCCCACCAGGAGATACTGTCTCACAGCACACTTATTCACTCATAAGTGACAGGAATTCATTAGCACTGTAGCCAGCTTGAGGGCAAGGAGTGTGTTTGGGCAAGGCAAAAAAAGGGATGTTCTCTTAGTCCCACTCAGCAAGACCAAGTGTCCAAGCCCTCTCCCCTGCTGTTGCTCTCTCCTGAGGTGTCTCCATCAGTTGTTAATAAAAGCCCAGCTCTGGGCAAACCAAGGTGCAGCTCAAAACTTTCCTCCTGTGGATCAAAGAATAGCCTTTGCCATAGACACGTTCTGGACACTTTTGCACAGACTGTCCGGCTCCTGCCAGGACACCCAGCTTCCCTGCACCACCTCCTGCCAACACACCCGCCACCTTCCCGATTGCCTCCCTTCAGATACTGGCCTTGCTAGATATAAAAGGAAAGAATTCAGTTTATTTGCCCAATAATGGAACAAGGATATTTTTCTCTGAGGAAGAAGCTCCCTCCATCCTGCCCTGAGTAACAGTAGCATGCAGAACAGGATGGGCTGAGACCCACAGGCAGTCTCTGAGACCCACTCACCAGCAGAGGAGTGTGGTTTCCTCAGGAGAGTGGGAATCCAGCACTGTGCTACCTGGAAAGGAAGTGCCGCTCAGGGTTGCAGAGTTCAGAGGAAGTGTAGCAATGGAGCAAGTGAATGGATCCTTCAACAGTTGTGCTGCTATCTGGTGCCTTGGGAAACCTGAACTCAATGCCCCTCATCTCACCAATGCCTTCGGCTACTTCATGCCTGGAGCCAGCCACACCAGAGGAGCCCTGCCTACTACAGGGGGGCTGTACTGCCAGGAGATCAGGTCCCTCAGGGTGGTTCATGCCAAACAAGCAAACCCTTGCAGCCATGTTAGAAAGTGTGGTGGATCCTAACATTTCTCTACAGCACACCAGGAGAAAAAATACACTCCAGGCTGTGAAATGTTTGGATAGTAGAGCCAAGGGTAGGGCACCAGTGCCACAGGATGTTTCTAAAGAGGGAAATGGGTCAAAATGGAGCAGTTTTGCTACTGGAGCTAAGCCAGACAATTTCACCAAGCTGCTCAGCCTGCAGCCAGCCCCATGTGGTCCTTTTTCAGCCCCACATTTGCCCATGTGTTGGCTCTATGAGTAGTGGCAAGGATGGGAAGAAATGCCAGCAATGCCCATGCAAGTCCGCACTGCGTTCCAAGCACGTGCACTTTCTGTGCTGCAATATGGCTGCAAACCCAAAGCTGCCAATACTCTTGCTGTAGTGACCACTGCATCTCAAGTGCCCTTGCTGATGCTCTGCTGCTGAGACTTGCTAGCTGCTCCTTCTTTAGGCAGGAGAAACTCAAACAGAATTCCAATATGCAACAAAAACCAGTAAGGAGGAACTGTGAATTGCTGCTTTCCACAGGAGAGGGTTACTGTGGATGGGTTCATGCCTGTTTCTATATCTGCTCCTTACAGCGCATGCAAGAACATAGTCACTCCAAAGATATGTGCTCCTGTCTGAGAGTAGAGAGTCTGTGTTGGTGTGTACTCCTGGTTCATCCTGGTGGATCCGATAACATGAGCAGATGAGAAAATAAATGGTCCCTGCTTTGGCACTCCCTTCTCCCGCATTGTCACCTCCAGAGCCACTAGCACTGAAGCACTGCTGTCCCAAGGGCTGCTTGCATGTCTTCAGTCTTCTGAGGTTCATGCTAAGGATGGAAGTAGTCCCACAGAGCACAGCCCAGGGGACAAACAAGGGGATGCAAAGCAGCTTCTCCTTACTCCTGTCTGCATGGGCTGATCCATAGATCCTTACATTTACGGCACTTTAATTTGTCTGCCAGGGTTAATATTCCCCTTATGGGCCAGTGGTGACATACTGATGAATGTTCTAAAGTGCTAAATATCTTTACTTTATAGAAAATACTAGTCCTACCAAATCCAGTCCAAATATTCTATGATCCTGAGCCGCCTTCTTAGATAGGACTGGTGCTTCATCGTACCCATGCAAGCCATCTGCACAAACAGCATTTACGTGGCACCTGCTGAGGGTACCCGTCCCCTCCTCAGGACCCACATCAATGGTGTCAGGGATGGCAGGAGGCGGTGGGTTGTGGGGAGATATGTGGCTACCTGGGAATTTCCCCAGCTGGCTTGGGGTGACTGAGGCTGCCTGGGCCTAGACTGACCCCCTGCCTGCGTGGGGCTGGCATGGCACACAGTGCCCCTGGAATTTCTGGGGCTCCCAGCAGCACCTCCTCCGCACTGCCCTCCTTTGAGGGTCCAAGTTTCACAGCCAGAGCTGGGGCTTTTCTTCCTTTCCATCTCTGCTGTTTGTCTCAGAGAAAACCCATCTTGTTGTTTTTCAACTGCCTGAAGGTGTTTTTCGGGGGTTTTTCAGGCTATTTTGAAGCTCATTTTTCCCAGATGTGCTTTTTTTTCTTCTTCTTTTTTATTAATTTTTTTTTCTTCTGTAACTTTTCTTCTTTGCCTTAAAGTTTCCGGCCACGTGACTTTCAGCTTACATCCCCGAGGTTCTGAGAAACCACAGGAGGCTGAGACCTAAAGGGAAGGTGCAGAGCCTCCGAGAGGAGAGGCAGCGAAAGTGTTGGAGTGTTGGGCAGGAGGACAGTGTGCTTCTGGGACGGGTGAGAGCAGGGAAGCCAAGGGCTATCTCAGGGGTGACAGAGGAGGGTGGGGAGAGGCAGAGAAGCAAGACAGAAGGCAGGCACACCAAGAGGACAAAGGAAGCTGAAGAGACCCTGGGAGCCAGAGCCAGGAGCCATGCCCCACAGCTCCGACAGCAGTGATTCCAGCAGCTTCAGCCAGTCTCCCCCTCCCAGCAAGCAGGTAAAGTAGGGACCTTCCCCAGCTCTCCCAGATGGAGAGTCCTTTGGGGTGGGCCATGGATGGGTGGGAGGTAGGGTGGCACCCACCGTTGGTGTTTTCACAGCACAATATGGCAGAGCTTTCTAAGAACAGCTGTGGGGAGAGGGATCCAGGACTCAGCCGAGGGCGCTGGCAGGAGCCCTAGCCACTGAGGTGGGTAAAGGAGGAGAGAGAAGACCTGGTTACCTGTGGCTATGCTGGGGCAACTGAGGGGCCAGGACCCCAGGCATGGTGGATCCTGCAACACATGCCAGGCAGGCAGGAAGCTTCATCATGAGAGTTGGTGCTCTGGCAAGGAGCCTGTGCAGGCACCTCCTGTCCATGAACTGGGGCAGCTCAGGGCCCTGACACTTTGGGTCTGCTTTCTCTTCTGTTCAGCCTCAGAGATTTTTCATCTCAGTAATGCTTGACAGAGGGATTTTGGTTTGTTGCATGGTGTACTTTAATGCAGGTCTTTTGCTGGCAGATACTGACACAAATCCAAGATGTTCCCACTGCCTTTTCTGGCTAAGCTTTATTATATCTGTCATTTGCCATTTCTCTAAGGCTGGCAACAATGGCAAGTACCTGAGACTTTGCTCAGAAATCTTGGGGATGATCAGGGCAGATGACTTTTGGTTTGCAACCAAGGATGAGGAGGCATCCTTGTAGAGAAAGGGATAAAGCACAGAGTTTGCCAAAGGATAGGGACTGGACTTCATGAAGAACCTGCAAGATTCTGTATCTGAGATATTTTCAGGGTCTTGAAAGCAAGGACAAAACGGTTAGGTTCAAAGAAAAAAAATCTTGGGTGGGGGGAGGGGGGAGAGGATGTGGACAGATTGATGGGCTGGGAAGATAACTTTTGTGGCTGACTTTTGTAGTCTTGTGGAGAAGTGGTGGTGTGGATGTTAAAGAGTCCACAAAAGGGGCAGTGCAATATGAAAATAGAAGATGAAAGAGACTGTTTGACAGTTTCAACTGTCAGAAGGCAGCAGAAGGACCAGATCTCAGCAGAGAATGGCTGGTCTGTGAAGCTCATGACCTGGAGCCTGGAGATCTGTTCTTCCCTGCCAAAGGAAGTGTTGCAGTCAGCATTGCAGGCATTGCTACCAAGAGAATCCAGGAAAGAGCAAGCACAGAAATCAGAGAGCTGAAGCAAATGAGATCTGAGTTAAAAACAAAAGCTCAGAGTCTGTCTAGTCAAACAAAGCAAGGGCCACATTGCATTGGTAGGGTCCACAAGAAATAAAGCCTGAGGGAGAAGGGTGATGGAGAGAGGAGGGACCTACAGGGGTGAAAGGAGGAAAACACAGACTGTATCTTTGGAAAAAACGGTTTATCCAAGGATTTGAAATGTCCACATTGCCATTACCCTCCAGACAGACAGGGAAGGGAAAGGTTTTCTGTACGAGAATTCAAATTGTCTCTCTTCCAGAAGGAGGTCCTTACTCTGGTCCATCAATCCATATCCCAGGCCTGGGTGTTGGTGAAGGGAGAGTAGTCATTTCCCAGCAGTACTGGGATGCCTAAGGGTATCAGATGTGCCCCTCCTGGACAACGAGGGTGCCAAAACCATCACGTCCCTGGGCTATGGCTTTATCCTGGCATGGAGGGTGTGTATCCCATGTCCTGTGCTTCAGTCATGTTATCTGCTGTGTCCCCTTCCCACTTACTGCTCTGCAGGAGAAGGGCGAGGGAGGGAATGCCCCGGTTATTTCTATGGCTTGTTTCCCTAGGACTCTTCTGATGACGTGAGAAAAGTCCAAAGGAGGGAGAAGAATCGTATCGCTGCCCAGAAGAGCCGCCTGAGGCAGACTCAGAAAGCAGACACACTGCACTTGGTGAGCACTCCCACTCTTCTTTGTCCTCAGTACTGAGGGCTCACATAGGACACAATGTGCTTTTCCCCTGGGACTTGGTGTGGAGATTCTCAGTGGAAGCAGGACAGGAGAATTGAGGCCAGGGCAGGATGCAGGAGTTAGCACTCACAGCAAGAGCACACAGCCCAGGATGACTGCCACTGAAGCATTTAGTTTTGCACCTAGTTTTGAATCCATCTTTATCTCTCAGTCTTTCATTACTGATTTCCTTTTCCAGTCTCTTCGGAGTGAGTCACTCAGAAGCTCTTTGAAAGCACAGTCTCACCCGGGCTGAATTTCCCTGGGTTTGTGATTCATGCCATCATTTATGCAGAGATGTAACAGCATACAGGGATGCTTTTCTGTGGCACTGTTGGCACCCTTGCAGCTCTTCTTGGTGCGAAGAATTAGATGTCTGCTTTTCAGAAGGGATGGCCACTTCTGGTGGGCTGAGATCCTTTGAATTTTGCACGGTGATAAGTGCAGTCCCATATGTTTTGGGCTACTGGTGGGCAGGATGAAGAACACACAACCTGCAGTGGACAGAGACCATCTTTATCCCTGCACTGGCTTGGCTGTCATTTGAAAAGTGGTAGTTGAGCTCATGTTCAAAAAACCGTCCTTTGACTTAGCGATCTTCATATACCCCCATATCCCAATTTTTGGGAATAATTCTTGAGAATTCAGTCCTGAACCTTCCTCCTGACATAGTGGCCTCATCGCATGGTTGGAGTTGGGTTTAAGGCAGAGATTTCACTCTTTTCTCAGTAAGTGATGATCGTTCTAGAGCTGACATGGCTCTAGGCTGGTTGCATAATATCTGCCAGCAGCAGTGGCTCTGGGTGACTGTGCCTGAGAGGGGTAAAGAAATACCCTTTCCTTGGGGTCAGTGCTCTCTCCAAGGTAATCCTAGAGGTAGATATGGGCTCTGTTCCTTCCCCAGGAAAATCCCACCTAGCTGTGCACCGAGAATTGGACTGCTTTTCTTAGAGCAGATAGCAAATCATTTGAGATTACTACCGCTCAGCTGGCATTGATAGCACACAGTCCTTGCCTTCCCATGGGGATGGGAGCAGCAAAGCTAAGTCCTGGATCCTGACAGACAGATGTAAAAATGCAGAGAAGCAAGTAGAGGATGGATGGTGAGTTTCTGCTAGTTTTTTTTTTTTCATTTCCTGGTGGATAGTGAACGCCTGCTGCTCCTGGGTTTATTCCCTGAGCGCTCTTTGACTTTGGTCGATTCTGAATCAGGGACTTTGGTTCCTTGAAGTGGTTCTGCCCAGAAGAGCATGGCTCAGCTTAAGCTATGGTGGTATGAAAGGAGCCAGCAGCTCCATCTGCCCCAGGGTTTTGTAGTTTGTGTTTTGAGAGGAATGAGTCATGGGGAGGCTGGAGCTCCCAGCCCCTGGGTGATTCCCATCAGTTCCTGAGTTCCATAGCAGTCATGATTTCCAAAGAATTTGGTCATGTCCTTGAGATGCTGTGTGACTCCTGCAGTGACAGCAGCTGTAACTGGTAGGTGTGTTTCACCTGTGCGCAGAGAGCAGGTGCCATCAGAAGTCAGCATGGCAGCGGAGGGGTGAGCAGGGGGATGACATGTTCACTTTGCCAAGGTGGTGGTGCAGCTTTCCAGGGCCTCAAAGTGCTGAGTCCTGCTTTAGCTGTCTCGGCTGAGATTGCAAAGCCTGCTGCTGCATCCTCCCTCCCTCCTCTGGTCCTGCCCAGGCTGCTGGCTCCATGGTCAGTTGGTGCCTGCGATGCTCCAACCTGGAGCTGGCTGAACTTCACAAGGTGAGGTAGCAAAGGCTTCGATGCTCTCAGTGTCGTTGAGACGAGGCTGAGCATCTTTATTAACCCCTTTGTTGTTATTCTCATTAATAACAGTATTGATTCAGTTCTTCTGAGGCCTCAGTTTCTCTTTTCTTCTGACTCAAGTGTCTTCCCCTCCTCCCCACCGTGCCACTGCTTTCCCCGGCTGCTAGCAGGAAGCAGTGAGTCTCTTCTTTCCAGGGCAATGACAGGTTTCCTGTGACAGGTGGTTTTCTGGTTAAAGACGGCGGTTATTCAGCTCGCTCTCCCCCGGGGGCTGGGCTGCCCGGGAAGCACCCGGAGATGTGCGTGTGCATGAGAGGGAGCGAGAAAGCCTGGGCGGGAGCAAGCCACAGTCACTTCTCGTAAGCCGGCACTGGGGAGCGTGTCTGGGGCCGCCAGCATCGCACTTGCACCCGGTCTGGCCAGCTGGGGGAGGAGGGTTTGCCCAGGCAGGGCTCTGTGACGAATTTACCAGAAATATGTCATTCTGGAAATTCTGTGGGGCAGAGAGGCGCAGGACCACAACCCCCCTGTCCCTAGCTCATCGGCTCCCACACTGAGGAAGTCCCTGTGGTTTTCTGTCCTCAGGAGAGCGAAGACTTGGAAAGGCAGAACGCTGCCCTGCGCCGGGAGATCAAGCAGCTGACAGAGGAGATGAAGCACTTCACCTCGATGCTGAGCTCCCATGAACCACTCTGCTCCATCCTGACATCCCCTCCACCGCCTCCAGAAGTGCTTTACGCCACACACTCCTTTCACCAGCCCCACATTAGCTCCCCACGCTTCCAGCACTGAGCTGGAAGTAGGACGACAGCCTGCCAGCTCCACTGATGGCAAGAAGTAACTTCGTGGGGCTCACTTTTCCATCCAAGGGAAGGAATTGGACAAGTGGACATTCCTTCTTAAAGTGTGTACTCTGAGTGACTTGCCTAAGACTTACTTCCTGTACAGAAATGGCAGAGCCACCACAAAGCATCTTGGGACAGTTTCCAGCTTGGATCCTGAGAAGAGGAGGCAGTCACAAAAGGGCACCAACCCCCTTCTGTGGTGCTTGTTTGGGCACACTCACAAGAGCGTGCAGCACCGACAGCCTCCATAAGAGTGGCTGGATGTGACATGCAACAGCCGGAGCTACAGGAAGAGGAATGGGAGCAGGGGTGGAGGAGGTTGGGGGCCACAGAGTATCAGGGAAAAACTGGTTTATTTTTGTAAAATAAAGATTGAAAATTCTTAACTCTTTGTTTCCAAAATAAGGTCTGAGTGAATCCTGGCATGATACAGTGAAGACACAGGTGGCAGGACAGGGAGAGCTAGGAGTCCAAGAAACAGCCCTGCATATGCAGAGGTCTAATCCAGGGCCAGCAACTGCAGCCTCACATTTAGAATGGGGGCCCATGTGCATAGGCTAGGCAGGCTGAGGAGCAATGGTTTGTGAAGTGATGGGGTCCCTGGGGAGGATGGGTCCCTCCTTGCTGCAGGGCTGGACTTGGCTAATGAATCTGATGTGCCATGTAACATCACAGGTCTCTTCCCTGCTGACCCTCTTGGCTCCCTGCTACTGATGGCTATACCTCCACATGTTCCCCTTGCATGCGTGGAGGTGCACTGCCATATCATGGTAGCTCACACGCAGCTCTTGGTGGGCTGGTGGAGCCTTCAGGCATGGAGGGAAGCGGTGATGCTGTGCTGGAGTGCACAGGAGAAGTAGGACCTAGCAGGACTCTTGCTTCAAGGCACCCTGCTAAGGTATGTAGCTGTAGCCTATGCTGTTTCCCCTTGCCCAACCAGTCATAGCTCTACAAAAGACTACTGCACTACCTCATGCATTGAAACAGATGAAACCTGAAAGGTCAGAGAAGATTAGGTTGGTACTGCTGGGTGTGATCTACTGGAAACACAAACTGGTCCATACAGATGGTCTCTACACCTTATACCCCACCAGCCAGCAGTCACCTACCACCCCCACTCTATACACAAAGCTGAAGCCCACCTGTTGGTGCAGGTCCTGTTGCTAATGGTGGCTCAGGACTGCTGCCATCTTAAAGGAACATCAGCTGCAATTTTTTCAGCACAAGCAGTGCTGTTGACACAGGCTTTTAAATGAGAGAAATAGATTCAATTCGTAGATATCCTTCTTTCAGGCGCAGGGAAACAGCATATTTCATGGGGTTTGGCCCATCATCGTAGCCCACAAGAGAGGTTGGATAAGTCTGTAATGTGCTGTGCTGCCCACATTTTCTCTCTGGTTTGCACTAGCAGGAGGATAACCAAATACTGCCATGCCTCAGCAAGCTGCCCTCAGGAGATGCACAGGTAGCACTGTGATTTCTCATTCCATGATCTATTCAGGTGCTTCTGCCTCCAGTTTCTGGGCCAGCATGGGAAGCACTGTAGTCAGAGACACTTAGTGTCAGCACGTGGGCATGGGTGTGGGCACCACCACCCTACAAAAGCAGTGCTGAGGCAACGGGTAATTGCACTGGCCCTCCCTGTCTGTGCAGGTCTGCCCCTTGCCCCAAGGGGGATGTGCACACATAGGGAAGGATGGTGGTTGTTCCAGCCAGGCAGCTGAGTTTCTGCATACAGGACATGCAGAATACATCTACAAGAACAATTTCATTGTGTCTTACGCCAGCCCTCTGTGCTGGATCTCACACCAATAGGCTTCACTCCATCCACTGATTCAACAAATAGAGCTGCCGATCCTTGCACAGGCCACGCTTTCAGTCACCCAGGCTACACAGGCTCTTCCCAAAGTGCTTTTCTCTGGGATTTGTCCTTTCAAGCCTGAGAGAGACAACTGTCCTCCAGCTCTAGAGGCCTTTGTCTTTACAGGCTCTGCTTCTGCTCCTTCAGCTTTTGGTAGATTTTCTCCTGGATTCTTCACTCGGTGTTCCTCAGGGCTCTGATGGTTCCATGTTTTCTGGTTACAGTCACAGAAAAAAGCTTTGGCTACCTTGCTTGGGGTTTGCTGTGCAGGGAACTGCAGGCTCACGCTCCTCACTGAAGGATGCAACTGAGCCCTAGCACAGCTTGCACTGACAACAGTGTCACCTAGAACAAGAGATCTCCATCCTTGCTGTGCCCTTTGTGTTTTCTCATGCCTATAAAATGCTAAGCTTGGTTTTAACTGCAGGTGGAGAAGGTCCTACACTGATGTATATGTCAACTATGCCCACGCAGACATGAAGCCAATATTTTTGCTGCAGAGCTGTCGAGGTCTGAGATCCTTCATACTGGGTGGGGTTCACATAATGCCCACAGAATTGCTAGACTACTCACTGGTAACGTCTCAGACCTATTACTGCGACTCAGAACGAAAATAAGCGGTAAGTGGTGAGACTGGAAGACAGGTTTGCAACAACATCCTCTCCAAAACTTAAACAATGTTCTTGGCACATTCAGTTAAGCTGTCTCTCCTCTGCATGGCTGGCTGTGAGCTGGAAGGCCTCCTAGCAGCAGCACTAGGCTCAGCCGTTTTGGCCAAACACTGGGTGTTCCGCTGGTGCTAGGAGACATATCTTCCAATCTGACTTGTCTTTGCCCCAGTCTTGCCCTCAAAAACCTGATCACAGAAGATGATCTGCACAGTTCAAGCCTGTTTTGACTTCTGTTTGCTTATAGTGATTGTGAGGTGTCTCGGAGGCAGTCTCTCTTTGTTATGAAGAATGATTCTCCTGGGGGAATGTCCTTATCACCCAAGCAGCATCGGACAACAGATCCTTTCAGAGCCATTAGCCCTTTCAACCAGTGGCTGAGAAAAAGATCTTTTCCTGAGGCTATTTGCAGAGCTGCACAAGCTGCTTATTTAGGCTGTGTGAGGAGATTCTTTCACTTCTGTACCGGCGCTGTCTCTTGCTTCTTTTTCCTGGGCTCCGGGCCTCTACTCTCCACTCTTCAAGCAACTTCTTTTAGATTTCGAAGTAGCCAAGTGCCTGTTCTTCGGTGTGGCCCTCGCTGTCCTCAAATGAACTGTAAATGAGCCTAAAAGAGGAGCAAAGGGCAGGGAGGTGGCCAGGGCAATTATCCCCGATTGCTTTCGATTGCTCCTACCAGCAGTGCAATTCCTTTCGACATTCATTTCCACGGCGTCTGGCATTTCTCAAGTGCTGTGGTACCTGGCCATGCCCAGCCTGCAGGACCACTGTCGTGCTGGCTATTCCAAGGGAAGGGGATGCTTCTGGGAACACAACTGGATAAACCGGGTGATGGCTGGTCCTGTGGTAGCCTGTCCCTACCCAGCAGGACGTCTGCGCCTGTCTATGGCGCTACCTGTCCCTCACTGAAAACCTCTCTCCAAGCAGTACATAGATGAGGAGTCACAGGAGGCTGAGAGACTCTTTCCCAGCCGGGGAAGGCCAGCTGGGGAGAGAGACAGCTCTTCTGCGAGCACAGCCTGCCGAAACACTGCTTGCGTGCTGGCCTCTGCTGGGCGAAAGCTGAGCGCTCCCAGCCTGCACCTGCACTCTTCTTGGCAGAGCCGGTTTGAAGGTTGTTAGCCTGGCTATTGCCAGACTAGAGGGAGGACTGAGCGGCTCAAGGCTAATGTGTGTGATGGCAAGTGTTGGGTAAGGCTGCCTGAAGGGGGATGTCCATGTCCAAGTGGAAGAGCGAGTCTATAGTCTCCCTTAGCCAAGGATCTTGTTCTTGGTCCAGGGACCTGTTCTGCTTTGTGGTCCCAGCATGTTTCCATTGTTGCATGAGGGTATGAGGAGCTTGGCTTGGTGTTCCCCACCTTCCCCAGCTCCCGAGGGGCTTGCAGAGGTGTTTGCAGGCATCGCTGGGCTGGATGTGGGGGCTGAGCCTGAAAAGCATCACAGGTGGAGGGAGCTACTTGCTAAAATAAACAGATCTGACTGCAGCCCTGATTAACTATAATCACCTTCACCAGGACCTGAGATAAGAATGGTAGATTTCAGTGTTTTGATATCCAGAAAGGCTTTTGTAGAAGCACTTGGGCTGTATTTGTGCCCAACAGCCATGTCCCTGGGGCTCTGCTGCATACTGGGCAAAGCCGGCCGGAACTGAGAGCAGGTGTAATGTGGCACTATGAGGCAGCTGCCGGGGGTGCTTTTCCAGCCTTAGTGACCATTGCCTCCACATTCACTTGCTGACTGGTGTCTTCTTTGCAGAGAAAACAGAGATGTGTGGCAAACATCTGTTGATACAAGCAGAGGATGGAGAAGGCAACTGGGGAACAAGAGAATTACATTTTCCTTCACGGCCTTTACTGAAATTCAATACCTCCCATGGATCGAGGAATCCTGGCAACTGTGCAGAAGGATAGCAAGTCACAAAGCACAGGGGGTGTTGTAACTTTCTCTCTTTCCGTCCCCCTAAAATCACAGGCTCAGCACTTTACAAGCCACCTGTATCAGCATTTCAGGCATGCTTTTATGGTAAGATAAATAAAGACAGGACATTCAGTGCTGACATAATCTTAATGTATCTCTCCCGCTGCGAAGCCCAGGGCAATCTTTTATGTCTGGTATTCCCTTTCTGCTTCATACTCCTCAGCTCAGCTGCAGGCTCTCCGTGTGGCAGGTGCCAAGGTGGGGAGACACAGAGCTAGCCAGTCCAGGGGAAGGTGCATTCATCCCACTGTATGGGGCTGTTTTATGAACTCAGGTGTCATCACTGTGATGCCCTTTCTCTAAATTGATTCATATGTGAATTTTTCTTCTTGAGGGGTACAAAAAGGGTAATACCCAAGCACTGTTTGCATGGAGTCAGAAGAAAAGTAGAGGCACATCTTCCGTTTGGCAAAGGACAGAATAAGCAGCTCTGTTGCCCATTTTGCTGTGGCTCCAAAGTATTTATGTACTTGTTTTACAAATCCCATCTCAGAATTCACTTCTGTTAGAGCTGCCAGCCTGCATCAGCAAGAGGATAATCTGCTGCATACTGGACCAAAGCAGCAACCCACAAAAGAGACCCTCTCTCTGCTTCTTACAATGATCATAGTGTCCAAAGCAGCACTTGTCATACAAGAATTGCTGCCTGGATGCTAGATCAAAGAAGATCGGGAATCACTGCTAAGAGACAAAGCATTTTTAAAAATCACAAGCTGTCAAGAAGAGAAAAAGCAAAGCATGGCATGAAATGGTGAGACTTTTCCTAGCAAACATCACTGTGCTCACTTTGTCTGGGTTCTGCCGTGGTTTTGCCACCTTATTGATTAGCGATCCGGAGGGGATTTGAGCAACATGGGTATAGATAAAGTTTTTTTAGGTTAATCAAAAAATCTACC